AATGTGCAGAAAAGCAAGGGTATGAGGAGTTGAAAGCCTAAAGCAAAACAATTTCATTTTCAATTTATTTTTAAAAATCTCAAGGATGAGGCAGCTAGGTGGCACAGTGGATGGAGCACCAGCCCTGGAGTCAGGAGGACCTGAATTCAAATCCAGCCTCAGACACTTAACACTTACTAGCTGTGTGACCTTGGGCAAGTCACTTAACCCCTTTGCCTAGACCCTCCCCCCCAAAAAAAGTCTCAAGTCATCCAAAGTTCAACATGTGATGAGTACAACATTTATTACCAACAAGGAACTCCACAGGAGAAAAGGCATAAAGGATATCTGAGAGATGTGTGATCAACAAAGGTGGTAGGGCAGTCAGGGAGTGAGAGCAAGGGAAGAAAATGGGCAGCCTGTGTGCTCCATTGGTACCCACACAATGTCAAGGTATTTGGATGGCCATCAGTATGTTGGATGGACCTGTGCAAGATTTATGGGAGATCATGGACAAAGAGTCACCTAGGACGAGAAGGCTTAGATGGTCTGTACTTTACACCATGCCGGGAGTACCCATAACTACAAGATCACAGATCCATCAAAGTAATAATAATAATAACATAGATATTATTTACAGTCACAAAACCCATTTGCATTACCTTCCAGAGCTCTTGTGGGACTCATATGTGTTAAGAGAGAAAACTTTGAAAAGTTTTAAAGTGCTGTATTAGATGGCCTTGTTAACAAGTAAACATTTACGCTTGCAAACCTTGCAACTTTGAAATTAGGCTTCAATTATTTTGAGTGCTGATGAAATTACATGGGATCATAGGATGGAGGAGTTGGAAAGCACCTTAAAGATTAGCTACTCTAACCCCCTTATTTTACTGATGAGGAAGTGGAGGTGCAGTGAGGTTTAGGGATTTGCCCAAGGTCACCTAGGTAGTAAGTGTCCAAATCAAGGTTCAAGACGTTTGACTCCAAAGCTAATATTGATTCCACATTTACAGTACTTATTTTTACTTATTTTCTTGTCTTGTTCTCTAAGCCTGGTTGTTGATTTGAATTGAATGTTATTCACTATATAACCTTGAACAAACCAGTTAATGTCTCTGAGCCTGAGTTTACTCATCTGTAAAATGGGGGTGATAACCTCTATTCTACCTAATTCAAGGTTGTGAACTTCAAATGCTCAGGGTCGTTGGGCGTATATGTAAATATGTGTATAATGATAATGTAAATAAAGCGTTTTTAAAACATCATTTACATAAACTATAAAAGTTAATATACCCCTCTGTTTATGCCCTTGATCCTATCCTGTCCAGTCTGTTCTAGGACCTGCCTCTCGGTACTTATCCCTTCATTCTTTTGCATCTATGCTCTCTTCCTCTACTGGTTCTTCCCCTTCTTCTACAAACAAGATCAAGTTCCCACTATCCCCCTGCCCCAAATCTTTCCTTGACCACTCAAACTAACATCCCATCTCTTGGTGAGTTTACCTATCCCTACAGCTTCAACCATACTTTAATTTTAAAAAAATAATTTTTTTGAAGCAATCAGGGTTAAGTGACTTGCCCAGGGTCACACAGCTAGTTGAGTGTCTAAGGCTGGATTTCAACTCAAGTCCCCCTGACTGCAGGGCCAGTGCTCCATCCACTTCACCACCTGGCTCCCTTTCGACTATATTTTTATGCTGACCACTCAGAATCACAACATCTCAGAGCTGGAAGGCCCCCTCAGAGATCACATGGCCTAATATGAACAGGAATCTCTTTCATAACATCCCTGAAATGCAGTTTTTCAGCCTCCTCTTAGAGAATTCCTGTGATTGGGGAACCCACCATCTCCTGTGATAGCCCACTTCATTTTGGGAGCTATTGGTTTTGGGTTGGTTTTTTGTTTTTTTTAGGCCTGAGTCTCCTCATCTCATTTAGGCTGAAAGTTCAGGGGCTGTTTATGGCCCTGATCTTGCTTATTGATCCTGATCAACACGGGAACTTTGACCTGATGCCTTTATGACCTGGGTAGATTTGACCCTCATTATACAACATGGTGCAGAGACGAGGGAAACTGGGGGGGTGGCAACCCCCTTCCTGGGGGCTAATAACATTACTGCCAAGTTTAATGTAGAGACCTAACCAGCGCAGCTCAATGCAGCTCAGAACTCCTGAACTCGAGACTTGCCAGCTTCCACCTCCCCGGATTACAGACACGTACCACTACTCCTAACACGGAGCTCTTAGTGTTAAATTTCCCCTTAAATTGAGCCTAATTACTTCCAAGCACAAAGCCTTGTTATATTAAGGAGGAGTTTAATAGATGTGGAATGAATGAATGAATGGATGGATGGATGAATACACATCTCCCTCCTTTATGTAACTGTCCCCATGTACTATAATGTGTACTTTGTGCTAGCATGACAAATGTGCAGTGATTCAGACCCAGCGGAAGGAGAGAAAGACTCAAATTGCTGTTTGATGGGTTTATTTAGAACATCCAACATCCTACTTGGTCACAAAAATGGGAGTACAAAACCACCTTCTCTAATTATTATTTACAATTTAGCTCAAAGGCATAATTACAACAAGAGAAACAAGATGCTAGGAGTCTGGGTGGAGTCAGTCGGCTTCACTTGTGCAGGGGATAGTAGAGAGCAAAACGGCATGAGATTCTTAGAAGATAGTCTCTCCACGAAGGGCAGAGAGGACTTTTCCTACCTTGTCTGATTACTGGATTAAATGAACATCCCATGGCTGGTAAGCTGAGTCTTGCAATGAGAAGCCTAGAGGTGGAAGTGACTTTCAAAAACCACTTAACCACAATTTGCTCATTTTATAGATGAGGAAACTGACACCCAGAGAGAGGCAGTGAGTGACCTCCTCAGGTTCACACAGCTAGTTAGTGGCAGAGCCTAGTGCCCAGATCTACTGATTACACAAACTGAATTTTAAAAAATCTATTACAGCAGCTTTGTTGCATCGAAACCCTGCCTTCCTCCCAAATTTTTCTTATGTGGGTTTGTGGTGGGGGAGGAGGGAGAAAGAAAAAAGTGCTTATTAATTGAAAAAAAAATTTAATTAAAAAAAAAACCTTTCCAAAGAAATGAATGTTTAAAATGTCTTTACATGTAATTGGGGGAAAAAATATTATTAAAAAAAAAAACTTTCCAAAGGAATCCCCCAAAATTTGTTTCCTATGATGCTACAGAGCTGAATTAAAAACAAATTATAGGGGCAGCTAGGTGGCGTAGTGGATAGCGCTCTGGCTTTGGAGTCAGGAGGACCTGAGTTCAAATCTGTTCTCAGACACATAACACTTACTAGCTGTGTGACCCTGGGCAAATCACTTAACCCTGATTGCCTCTCAAAAAAGAAAAAAAAATTACAAGCATGGTCTATCACCTGGTGGCTGCTTTACTTGGGCATATTTTTATGGTTTCTTATTAAATCTTTGTTCTTTAGGGCCTAGGCAAAGGAGACATCTCAACTAGTGGTAGTTCTGTGCTGGGAAGTCTGCATTTTGATGTAGTAAAGAATAAGCAGGGGCCAAGAAATTTATTCTTGCATCATTTCAGATGGGTGAGTTGAACCATGCAATTAATAGCAGAGCTTTGGCAAGGGAGCAAGGATGGATTTATCATGCTGATTTAGGGTTCTTCCTTAGCTTCAGGTGAGGTCTAAAAGAACTTGAATTGTTTGGGGGCTAACCTATGCATAAGAGCAGGGCTTCTTAAACCTGCCCAGTGAGAGCAGCTACAGGGAGAGGCCACAAGGCAGCCTGGAAAGAGCACAGGGTTGGGAGTTAGAAAGCCTGACTTCTATTCCCAGTTCTTGCAGTGACTTTAGATGAGTGATTTTGCCTCTTCAATTTTTCTTTGTGGAATAAGGATCTGTTTTGTTTTCTTTTGTTTCTAGCATAGAGATGAGGGACCGTGAATACAGAATGTTGTCTATGCCATCAGACACAATCATTTTGCTGGGTGATTTTATTTAGCTATATTTTCCTTTATTACTAGGGAGGAGTCATGGGGGTGAGTATTTCTGAAAATTACTGTGATGGAAAAACAGAAAGTATCAATAGAATTTATTTAAAAAATTAAAATGAATTTTGAAACTAACATCTAGATTTTTGTTTCTGGTTCAGATTCACTCAGCAAATTTAATTAAAAAGCAGATCTCACTTCATTTTCATTTTCCTAGCACTCATCTTTTTGTGGATCCTGTTGCAGTGTTCTTTGCTGCAGCTGGGATGGCTGTGGGGGAGGCGGCTGCTCCCAAGGAAGTGGTTTGCACATTGGAATCCCCGGGTGAGGAAATCAGGTCAGTGATGATTAAAAATGGGACCTGAGAGAGGAATCTCAAAATGAACGTTTTCGGTGTTTGAATTTATACTGTGCCACCTACTTGGCCAATTGTCATATGCAAATTTTATACAAATTGCATGCAGATTCACCCACAGGCTTCCTAACTTACACAAGACACGGCCTCTGAGGAAATTCTAGTGTCAACAATATGGATGAATTTTACAATTTCCAAAGGAAAGATGAAGAAATGGATGCAATATCACACCTTCTTTGCTGCAGGTTGAGTATTGTACAGATGGGCTCTTCATCTCTGGGAATTCCTCTGTTGCAGAAAGAAACACAAGGTTATTACAAGGTACAGATGCCAAGGAAGGAAGGAGGGGGAGGGGGGAGGGGGCATGGGTGGGAGAGGATACACTTGGAGAATTTCAAGTTGGAGCTACAGTGGTGGAGCTACAGTGATTTAGGAGCAACGGCCAGCCAGAGGCCTCCAGAGGAGGGTAGTGACATTAGATGGCAGGAGTTACCTCTCTTTGCATATTCCTGTCACACATTAATGGAGCCCTGGTATTTGGAGTACTTCTGAGCTAAGACAGAAACAAAAGATCTGGCTGTTTTCCCAGCCCCATAGTCTTGTTCGCCCTGTGACTTTTCAGCTTTTGCATGACCCTGCTAAGTATTTGACTTCTAACTTTTAGGAACAATGCACCTATTCTTAGGCCTTGATCTTGGTAGAGGTCAGGCAGCCCATGATGGTGGCTGCAAAAGAGGTGGCTGGTTACTGATGAGAGCATTTTTCCCAAGTGAGGTAATTCAGATCTCCAGAGAGGTAAATTATTCCCACGGTCTCCTTGGGAGGGCTCAGAAGAGTCCTCATTTGATAAAGAGTTAAATGTTGGGACCTGGGTTTGTAGAATAATTTGGTTCAGAAACACCTTATAGAATTATGCTAGCATATATTGCTCTTTATAGTTTAGAACTGAGCTAGAACCAGTTGCGAAAGTAAAGTTTTTGCTGAAGGATTATGTGCAACGTCAGGTAGTTATGTCCAAGCAGTATTGTCCTTGTGTGGGAGAAAGGGTACTTGAACCTTTGTCTCAAAGTCACAGGATCTCAGAGTTGACGGGACCTCAGAGGTCGTCTAACCCAATAACTACATGAACAGGAATCCATCTTCACCCTTAAAGATCTCCAGTATTGGGACTCCCAGTTGCCATCTCCCAAGGTAGGGCATTTTGATTTTAGATGGCTTTCACTGTTAGAAAGTTTTTCGTTACACTGAGCCAAAATTTCTCTGTCCTGGAACTAGGTCTTTGGATTATTTACTTCTTCCCTTCAGACATCAGTTTTCCCATCTGTAAAATAGAATAATTCTTGACCCTCCCTTCAACTTGGGAGAAAGGAGGGTAGAGAGGGTAAAGTAAAGATCATTGAAGTTATTATAGGTATGAAAATTCTGCATATATGTAATATAATCAATATTATTTTTTATTGAGTTGGACATATTGGGCTACAGGGTAAGTATCCAAAAAGTTCTTGAATCAAAATGAATAAAATGAAATTTAATTGAACAAATGGTAAAATTCAACATGGATCCAATCAATTAAAAAGCATTAATTTAGCACCTACTATGTATTAGATGTTGGGGAAAGAAAAACAAAAATAAAACAGTCTCTGCCCTCAAGGAGCTTATGTTCTATGGGGGGAGACAACATAAAAATTAACTTTACAAGTACAGAATGGGGGAAGTTATGACTAAACAACAGTTCATATAGAAAAGATTTAGCGATTTTGTTGGATTACAAGTTCAATATGAGTTAACAGTGTAATATGGCAGCTAAAGGAGTTAATGGTATCCTAGGAAGCTAGGATATAAAATTAGAGAGTTAGCAGTGTTATTACATTTGGTTTGACTTATTTGGAGCACTAAATTCATTTTTGGACACTGCAGTTTAGAAAGGACATAAGAAAATTGGAACATATCTAGGAAAGGCTGGTAAGGCAAAGATCAGCCATAGGAGTTGAGGATACACATCACAGAGAATAAACGATAGGAACATGAGATCTATCTTCAAGTATTTGAAAGACTGTCATGGGGAAGAGAAATCAGACTTGAAGAAGAAAGATCAAGCTTCAAAAGATAAAACCAGGAGCAATAGGTAGAAGGTAGATAGAGGTCAATAGATTTCAACTTAATACGAGGAAACTTTTCCTAACAATTAGAATTGTCAAAGAAGAGGAATGGACCATCTTTGGAATTGGTAGATTCTCATTCATGAGATCACAAATTTAGAGCTGGAATGTACCCTAAAGACCATCTATTTTACAGATGAGGAAACTGAGATATAAAGGCTATAAGTGATATGTCCATGTTCATCCAGAAAGTGTTTGAGGTAAGATTCTTCTCTTCAAATAACAATGAATGAATATTTGTTAAGCACTTACTATGTACCCCACACCATGCTAAACACCAGGGATATTAAAGAGGGTCAGTCGCTGCCCTGGAGAAGCTTACATTTTGGGAGGAGGAGACAACAGGCGTAGGTAGGTGAATGGTGTCAAAGGAAGGGTGTTTTGGTCATGAGGGAAGTCACGGGGCAGTTGATTGAAATACCCTTTCCGGAAGCAGTGGTAGTGATGAAGCTGGTTGGCTGCTTATTGGGGATGCCATAGAATGGGTTCTGGGTTGGTTCTAAGCTGAACAATGGTCTTTGTATTCCTTTTAACTCTTCAATTCTGGGATAGGATTTAATCTCTAAGGGGGATTGGGGTATAGTGGAAAGAGTGCGGGGCCTGAAATCAAGGGACAGGTTAGAATCTCCACTTTGGGCAAGTCATCTCTGCATCAGTGCCTCACTTTCCTCATTTATATAAGGGAATATTAATACATTAACTGCTCATCTCATAGAGTGGTTGTGAGGAACATCCTTTGTAAACCTAAAGACCTGCAGAAATGTGCGATTATTATACTGGTGGTGATTGCTTGTTGTAGATACTATGTCGTACCTGTTTGAGTACAGCAGGAGTTTTCTTGACTTCCTCCAATTTTACAGGTTTATGAGCCTAGTGAGGATCCCAGGTATGTTCTCCAGTTTGCTGGTGATCCCCTTAGGCCTGCAAAACATAAAAATTAAAAAATTAAAATAAAAAAGAATCATGAAACAGTCCCGAGCTCCATAGGGAAAATCCTCTTAACTGGGAGGTAAAAGTCAACTCTGTTTCTGAGAGAGAAAGGTTAGCATTGAAAAGAAGGGTCCTCAGATGAAGGCTTAGGGTATTTATTTATGGGCCCTTTTTAAGGTCCCACATATACACCACAGTGTCAACAGCTATGTATGGTATGTATGGGTATGTATGGTACGTATGGGTATGTATACATGTATACCTATACATGTTCCACATGCCCCTGAAAGCCTTCCCTGACCCCACCCCTACCCCCAGCTGCCGTGATTTATCCCTCCTCTGGTCTCTGTTATCACATACTCTCTGTACCACAGTCTAGAACTTTATTTTAGAGTGTCCTATACTGTTCTCTGATTGTTTCCTAGGTATGCATTAGTTTGCGCTCTCCAGCTGGATTATAAGTTTCTTGAGGCCAGGAACTCTATCTGTCCTCTTGAATCCTTCACTGCACCTAGCACAGTGTCGAGCACATGGCAGGTACTTGTGAATACACTGATTTTATGCACTGTTTTATATCATCCCTACAGTCTCCTGCCCCACTGTTCTTTGTATTCCTCTAACCCCTCACATAGTTAGGGAGAGGGCAAGATTCTTGGTCTCCAAATCACATTCTCCAGTCACTGGCCCCTGCCATCTACCTTTGATTCTGCAACACGGCAGCCAAGAAGTCCTGTAACGCCGTCTGCTTGGGGTAACAGCTCTCCATCAAGATGCTATCTAGTTGACGTCTAGATAGTGCTTCATGACCATCTTCCTCTCGATTTCCCTGTCTGCTTTTGGTGGGAAGAAAACAAGTGATGTCTATTAGGATCATAGACCTCATGCTGGAAGGGACCTCCAAGGGCATCTAGTCCAACCTCTTCTTCTCACTCTTCCTCATTTTAGATATACGGAAACTGAGGCCCAGGGAGGTTAAATGCCCTGCCCAAGATCACACAGGTAGTTGGCATCAGAAGTAAGATTTGAACCTGGGTCTTCTGATTCCAGAGTCCATGCTCTTTCCTCTGTGCCACACTATCTCCCTTTGAGAGACGCTGTCTTCGCATTGCTGGGGGCTTCCCCACACTTCTGAAAACCTGGAAACGTCAGCCATTGCACAGAACATGTGGGAGTAGATCAAGGGGAAAATCTCTGTCACTCAGGTTACGTGTCAAAGGCAGATCCCAACCCATGCTTCTAATGATTCAACTGTTGTTGGAACCGAGAACTTGGTCAGAATATTGCTTTCTCTGTTTGGCCCGATGCTGGTTAGGGTGGGCCCTAGGCTGTGCTCCAAGAAGTTAGCTCTCAAGGCCCATCTCCTCCAAGAGGTCTTTCCTAACAATTGCAGACCACACCCTTCTCTCCCTTCATGACTCACTGCCCTTCACTCCCCTATCTTCTTCCTTCTGGTGGCCTTGTCACCAAATCAGAGATCAGGCCCCAAAGGACATGGCAAGGAGGAAAATGAAGACTGGTTAGAAGGGCCAGCCTGGTATAGTGGCCACACACAACTCAGCAATAAGGACCTTGAGGCTCTCAGGGAAGGCATTTTGGAACTAAAAGAGATGCATGAGACAGAGGCCCTGCTTGTAAAAAGCTTACAATCTAGTCGTCAAGGGAACAATTTTAACATGATAAGTAAGTTGAGAATTTTACAAATAACATTAATTGGAATATACAAACAATAAATTAAATGAATGAATGAAAGAACATTTATTAGGCATTTACCATATGCTAAGATCTATACTAAACACTAGGGATATAAAAACAAAGTAAAGATAGTCCCTGCCCTCAGGGAACCTACATTCTAATCAAAGCCCTGCCAATCAGAGCTTATGTAGTGGGTATCCCTTTCAGTCCCGGAATGCCCAGGATGCCCACACCTCAAGGTCCTGACTGGTGAGTCCTCATGTGTGGTCATTCTTTCAGGCCAGCTATTCCAGTCATGCTTCATTTCACTTCCTATCATCTTCTCACCAGGAATGTATTTCCCTCCCTCTGGGGTAGGAGCAACAGCTATGAAATTAGGGGTTGCAATCTAATAACTTTTGACCCAGCAATGCCATTGCTAGGTCTATTTCCAAAGATGATTAAAGGAAAAGTAAAAGAACCTATATGTTCTAAAATATTTATAACAGCTCTCTTTGTGATGGCAAAGAACTGGAAATTGCAGGGGTGCCCGTCAATTGGGAAATGACTGAACAAGATGCGGTATATGATTGTGATGGAATACTACTATGCTATAAAAAATGATGAGCTCAATGGTCTTAGGAAAGACTTGCATGAAATATTAAACAGTGAAATGAGCAGAACCAAGAAAATGTTGTATTCAATAACAGCAATATTGTTTTAAGAATGACTTTGAGCAAATAAGCCATTTTGACCATTATAAATACCCCAATTAACAATAAAGGACATGTGAAGAAAGGCGCTGCTTCCAGAGAAAGAACTGATAAATAGAAGTATGTATAGAATAATTTTACATATATATATAGAAATGCTTGTTTTATTCCATAAATTAAAAATAAGATATATTAATTTTTTTTTTTAATCAGGGGTTCTTAACCTCTTTGGAGTCCTGGACCTGTACAAATCTGGTAGTCCAGTAAAACCTCTGAACTCCTTCCCAGAATGTTTTTAAATGCATAAAACAAAATACATCGTATTACAAAGGAAACCAATTACATAGTGGAATAATACAGTTATCAAAATGTTTTTAAAAAACAAAACAAGTTCACAAACCCCAGGTTAAGAACCCCTGAAACTAAGGCTTTGCCACACATGGCTAGGATAGCTTTTTTATTCCCTTAAAAGGCAAGAAAGCTCTTCCTGAGAAAGTCCAGGGGGCTAAGGCTTGAGGCCTCAGTGTGACATCCCAATAGCCTCGCATTTAAAAGGTACAGCCCACCAGGAATCAGTGCTCAGAGTTGACTGATGTCCCACTGCAGTGAGTCACCACACCCATCTGACCCAATACATCTGCTGAACAGATGTGTTTCCATATGGTGATTGTCCTTTCCGTGCTATGGCTAAGTAAACTTTTACTTAATTGTTAGATAAACTATGAGTATCTCATTTTATTCCAATACTGAACCCGAACCCCCGAGTAAGGCCTAGCTTATAACATCCTCCATATACCTTCATCCCAACTCAGCTTTGCAGTTCTAACACCACAGTCAAATCAGTCCTGACCCCTTGAGGGCGGCGACTGTCTTCACTTTGTTTTTATATCCCTAGTGTTTAGCATAGTTCTTACCATAGAGTAAGTGCTTAATAAAGACTTTTTCATTCATTCATTTCACTTGTTGTTTGTGTATTATTTATAAAATTGTCTATTTACCTAGTGTGTTAAAATTGTTCCCCTGACAACTAGATTGTAAGCTTCTTACAAGGGGGGGTCTGTTTCTTGTGCTTTTCTTGCCCCTCCTGCTGCAGTGACTAGCACAGAACTGGCCACACGCAGAATACTTTTTGAAGGTTTACTTATTGATAGATAACAGAAGGCTTGACTCTGAAGTCCTTAGAAAAACCTATCATGAAATGGCATAGAAAGAGAAGTGGTGACTGGGTCCCTGAGTTCCCAGAGCAGTAGGAAGATGCCTAATCTAGATCCAAACCACTCCAGCGTCTTTGCCAAGAAAACCTCCAGTGGGGTCAGACACTACGGAAAATGACTGAACAACAACAACAACAAAGCTAGATCAACACTAGATCTAAAGTGCTACACCCAGGAAAATAATTAATATTAATATAGTAATTAATTAATAATATAATAAAACTAACATATAATTACTATTAATAATAAAATTTACTAATAATATTATGCACTAGGGATATAAAAACAAAGTACCAACAAAATTGTACAGGCTAACAACTTGGAAAGACTGAGAAATGCCGATCAACACGAGGACCAACCACAATTCCAGAAGATTCAGTGACACGTGCCACCCAACCCCAGATAGAGAGCTGATGGACTCATGGCAGACAGAGGCCTATTTTTTTTTTTTTTGGACATAGCTAGGTAGAAAATTGTTTTGCTTGGCTATACATGTTTGTAATGGATTGTTAGGAAAGGAGGGGGAGGTTAAAACTAGAGAATTCAGAGCTGAAGATAAAATTGAATTTAAAAAATAAAGTTGGGGCAGCTCGGTGGTGCAGTGGATAGATCACCAGCCCTGGAATCAAGAGAACCTGAGTTCAAATCCGGCCTCAGACACATAACACTCCCTAGCTGTGTGACTTTGGGCAAGTCACTTAACCCTAATTGCCTCATAAAAAAATAAATAAATAAAATGATAGACACTACAGAGACAGAAGTAGACAGTCTAAAGCCTCATCCAGAGGCTTGCTTACCTTAGCCGTTTGCCCATAATATTTTGTAAGAATTTCCGAGCTGAGATCTGACCCAAGATTTTCCGGTAGCTATTGCTAAAGATGGCATCTGCATGGCGTTGCATCCTATAACAAAAGAGCACAGAGTCAGAGGATGGACAATTAGGGGACAGAGGATTAGGGCAGAGGGATCTATGTTCACCTTTTCTCTGCAGAGTCCATAAGGATACCTTTCTCCTGTTCTTCCATGGAGAGATTGTGACTTTGAGCTGGGCTGCTTTCTCCAAGCTGAAAGCTCATCTCCTTCCCTGAGACAGGCAGTGGACTGTACCTGGAAGGAGACAAATGCAGCCGGTGCCAGTTAGGGAGCATGGGTCCCCTCACTGGCTAATTCCCTGTCATCCTTCATAGGATCATGAATTTTGAACAGGGGGATCCTTAGAGGTCATCTGGTCCAACCCCTTCACTTTTCAGATGAGGAAACAGGACCAGAGAGGTTAAGTAACTTTCATAAGGTCACATAGGTAGTAGTTTGGAAAGTTAGATTTGATTCCACATCTAGCATTTTTCCTGACCATATCCATCTGCAGCCAGCCTCAGAGCCACTGACAGCTGAGCCTGTCTCTCCTGAGGGTATAAAAGGCATGGCTGAGTGATGGCATGGACAGAAACAGAATGTCTGTGTTTGCCACTGGGGGTTGAATAGGCCTTAGTACTTAAACATGGCAAGACGTCTCAGATCTGAAATGAGGAAGCTGGCAGAGCAGAAACTTGTTTACTTGGAGGCTGGAGGCTGGAAGGGTAAGAGAAGGTATAGGGCCAGGAGTAGTAACAACAATGATTAGCAACTTGATGTATTCCCAATTATCATCTCATTTACAGGATTTCAAGCTAAAAGAGACCTTAGAGGTCATCTAATCCAAATCTCTTATTTTAGAGATGAGAAAATTGACACCCAGTTAGAGAGATATGTGACTTACCCCTGGTCACATAGGTAGTTAATAGGAGAATTGGGATTCAAACCCAGGTCTTCTGATTTATCAGTCTGGTGCTCTGTGATTTTTAAAAAATTCCATGAAGCAAAGAGGGAAGATAGTATCACCTGCATTTTACAAAGGAGGAGGAGACTAAGGCCAAGTCTCCTAAGTCACATAGCTAGCAAGGGGCTAAGCCAGCACTAGAAGAACCCAGGCCTCCTGACTTCTTGTCCCATTTTTTTCCCTACTACACTATGACACTTTTTTTTTAAAAGCACCTAAAAAGTACAGTATCTAAAATTAAGAGCAAGCATTACCTATAATGGGGATAAACTGGAAGTCTTTCCAACATGATCAGTAGTGAAGCAAGGATGTCTATTATCACCATTACTATTCAATATTGTACTAGAAATGCTAACAATAATAATAAGATAAAAAAATTGAAGGAATAAACATAGGCAATGATGAAACAAAGCTATCACTTTTTGAAGATGATATGATAGTATGCTTAGAGAACCCTAAAGAATCAAATAAAAAACTAGTTGAAACAATGAACAACTTTAGCGAAGTTGCAGGATATAAAATAAAACCATGCAAATTACCAGCTTTTATATTTATTACCAATAAAAGCCAGCAGGAAGAGATAAAAATTCCATTTAAAGTAACGACAGACAATATAAAATACTTGGGAGTTTACTTGCTAAGATACACAGAGAAACTATATGAACACAATAACAAAATACTTTTTACACAAATAAAGACAAATCTAAACAATTGGAGACATATTCATTGCTCATGGGGAGGTCAAGTTAATATAATAATAATGACAATTTTACCTAAATTTATTTACTTCTTCAGTGCCATACCAATCCATCTACCAAAGGAGTACTTTATAGAACCAGAAAAAATACAGTAAAATTCATCTGGAGGAACAAAAGCTCAGGAATATCAAGGGAATCAATGGAGAAAAAAAGTGAAGGAAAGTAGCCCAACTACCAGGTCTCAAACTATACTAAAAAGTAGTGATCAGCAAAACAGTTCGGTACTGGATAAGAAATAAAGTGCTTGATTAATGGAATAGATTAGGCACACAATATACAGAAGTAAATGATCACATTAATTGAGTGTTTGATAAACACAAAGATCCAAGTTATTGGGGCAAGAAGTCACTATTCAACAAAAACTGCTAAGAAAACTAGAAAGCAGTTTGGACAGAAACTAGGCATAGACTAACATGTCCCATTGTTTGCCAAGAAAAGCTCAAAATGGATACATGATTTAGACACAAAGGGTAATATCATAAGCAAATAGGGGAGCATGGGAAAAATTACCTGTCAAATCTATAGATAGGGGAAGTTTATAACCAAACAGGAGATAAAGATCATAGAAGGTAAAATGTATAATTTTTCATTACATTAAATTAAAAAAAGTTTGCACAAATGAAACCAATGCAGCCAAATTAGAAGCAAAGCAGGAAACTGGTAGAAATGTTTTTACAGCAAATTTCTCTGATTAGGGTCTCATTTCTCAAATAAACAGGGAACTGAGCCAAATCTATAAAAATAAGAGCTATTCCCCAATTGACAAATGGTCAAAAGATATGAACAGGCAGTTTTCAGAAGAAGAAATCAAAGCTATCAATAGTCACATTAAAATGTTCTAAATCATTAATAATGAGAAAAATGCAAATTAAAACAACCCTGAGGTATATCACTTCACACCTATCAAATTAGTTAACACGACAAAAAAGGAAAATGACAACTGCTGGAGGGCTGTAGAAAAATAAGTACACTAATATATTGTTGTGGGAATTGTAAACTGATCCAACCATTCTAGAGAACAACTTGAAACTCTGCCCAAAGTACTATAAAACTCTGCATAATCTTTGATCCAATAATATCATTACTAGATCTGTACCCTAAAGAGATCAAAGAAAAAGGAAAAAGACCCCTATGTACAAAAGTATTTATAGCAGCTCTTTTTGTACTGGCAAAGAATTGGAAATTGAGAGGATGCCCATCAATTGAGGAATGGCTGAACAAATTATGGTGTATGATTGTGATGGAATACTATTGTGCTATAAGAAATGATGAGAAGAATTGTTTCAGAAAAAAGTAGGAAGACATAAGCTGAGGCAAAGTGAAGTGAGCAGAACTAGGAGAACATTGTACACAGTAACAGCAATATCATAATCATCAACTGTGAAAGACTTAGCTACTCTGATCAATGCAATAATTCACTACAATTCCAAAGGACTCATGATGAAAAATGTTATCTACTTCCAGAGAGAACTGATGAACTCAGTGAAAATTGAAGCATATTTTCTTTCACTTTATTCCTTTTTCTTGCTTTTTTTTCTTTTCACAATATGGCTAGTATGTTTTATATGATTTCATATGTATTATGGATATCATATTTCTTGCCTTCTCAATGGGTAGGGGAAAGGCTAAAGGAGGGAGAGAATTAGATTTTGGAAATAAGAATTAAAAATAAATAAAAATAAACAAAATTTTTAAATCACTAAAAACAAAGATACTGGTGTGTAAGTTTTGCATGAAGTATTTTTTTTCCATCACAAGTTTTTAGACTCATTTATATTCTTGGGTAATTCAAGGGTTCATGTCACTGGGTAGCTTATAAAATGAGTTATAGTGCCCAGATTTGTCTCTTTTTGTAAGGTAAATTTTATAAGCTAGCCTGGGATATTCAGTGCAGCATATCTGAGGCCAGAATGGAGGCCAAGAATGTGACATTTCGACATGATGTTTGGAGTAACTGGGTTTGAAACTCTTGTTATGGTTTATTGGACTTGTTCTTTTAAATCTTCATGTTGCACCAAGAAAACTTCCCTTTTGTTGTTTCTGTGGAGGCTAGCAATAAACCTTCTTTTAAAGCAATATGAAAAAAAAAGGAAAGTTACAAAAAGGGGAGAGTTTACAGGAAAAGATAATGATTTCAGTTTTGAGCCTAGATTCAAATCCTATCTTGCTACCTGTGTGACCTTGAGCAAGTCACTTAATTTCCTTGGGCCTCAGTTTCCTCACTTGTAAAATCCAGCTCTAGATCTATAAGCCTTTCCAAATTGAGACCCAGAGAGGTTAAATGATTTGCCCAAGGCCACACAAGTAAGAAGTTGGGGAGCTGAGCTTTGAACCCCAATCCTCTAATACCAGAGTCAAAGCTCTTTGCCTCTTACCCTACCTGCCTCCCTTGTAGAATGAAGGATTGGGACTAGATGCCCTTTGAGATCTGTTCTACCTCTGGAGCCAAATCTTGCCCTCTTTCTGTGATCCTGCTTTGTCTCATGCTTCAAAGTCTAGGCAAAAAAACTTGGTTAAAGGCACCTGAGATAAAATTTATTCTAGGTGTCTTATGCCTTGATGTAAGAACCACATTCAGATACAGACGAATCTAGTTGTTTTGTTTTGTTACAAGTAGTTGTAGTTTATTCTTGTTGGGCCTGAGTGCCTTCTTAGTCAGCTACTGGAGCTTCTGAGAGGCTGAGACAAAACAGGGGCTCTGCGATGGGAAGCCACTGAGGGACAGAAGGATGGGCCTTACCTGAGCGCTGGGTAGAGTGGGGAGCAGCGGGAGCAGGTGAGGAGGTGAAGAACCATAAGCAGAGCCACCCTGGCTGGCATGCTTTACACTCCAGGAGGCACCTGGGAAGAAAACAATCCAATGGTTTGGACACAGGCAGCAGCAGCAACAAATATTTTCTAAATACTTGGGTTCTGTGCCATCCAGAACCTAAGGGAAGGACCTGATGAGGTTCTCTGCCCTGGAGGAACTCAGTCTATGACACCTCAGTTCATCGAACCTGCCACTCACCAAGAAAGAGGGCTGCCCAGGCATCTTGCTATCTGCCCTGATGCTCTCCACCTTCTCTGTACCTGGAATAGCTACCCTCTTGATCATTCCTGCAGAGGCTGCATCCTCTCTCCCTGGAGGAGTTAATCTACTCAGCTCTGGGGGGCAGAACTGTACTTACCTATGGATCAGTGCATGCAAACTTCAACTAATCTCTCTTTTTGACCCCAAATCATGTTTTACACCCTATCCAGCCATCCACCAAGGGTCTCGGGCCTATCTAGGCATCTTGCCATCTGTGATTTCCTAATACCTAAACTCTTTCCTGGCCACCACTCTCCTATATGTATTGTCTGCCCTATTAGAATATAAGATCTTTGAGGGCAAGGATGTGTCACTTTTGTATTTATATCTATAGTACCTGGTAAAATGCCTTAGTAATCACTTACTGAATTTTTTTTTAAAATTCATTCACCCTGTAGCTTTAGGTGAGAGAAGGTGGAAGGAATAATCAGTTGGAAAATAAAAAGATCTGGACATAATGATCCTAGTTTCTATAGCAGCAAAAATTCTGCCTCTTATTGTCCTATTGCTGAGCAAAGACCATGGGGTATGGTACTAGCACTGGAGTCAGTGTTAGAAGGCCAGGGCAGAATTCTGTCTCTGCCACTGACTTCCCTGGGCTTCAGTTTCCTCATCTGTAAAATGAAGGGGTTCCTTCCAGTTCCAAGTCTTTGATTCTGTGATTCTTGCTAATTATATGCTAAGCTTTGTTGTTTTTAGCTGATGAAGACTACAGATGAGGTTAGCACCCTTTAATTTTGGTATCCTGGGGCAATACTCTAATTGTCTCACCCTACAAACCAGTTTTTCTCCTCTTAATGTGGTTCTCACGTTAAAGTGTAAGAGCCCAGAATAAAGTTTGTCTTTGATGCCCTCTCAACTGCTTTTCATTCCTCAGCCCCATCACAGAACCTTGGAACCTCAAAGACTTCTAAGGTTATTCAGTCCAGCTTCCTCCACAATAAAGGAATCCACTCTACAATATCCTTGACATTTCAATTCAGTAAACATCTATTATTAAGTGCCTATTGTGTATAAGACATCATGGCATAATGGTTATAAAAGCTGATGTTAGGGTCAGGAAGATCTGGTTCAGGACCTGCCTGTGACTCATGCTGGCCCTGTGACTGTATTGTGCTGGGTAAATCACTACCCCAGTGGTGCCCCAGCCAAGACTGTTTCAGAGAGAAGCCTATCTGCACAAGCAGTGGAAGTTCTCATTGAGAGCTCCCTGCATTGATGAAATCTCAGGGTCCTCCTGTAAAAAATGTGCAAGACCTTGCTAGATATTGGGGATGCAAAGAAAAAGAAAGTTTCTGCCCTTAAAGAACTTACATTCTACAGGGTAGGGACAAATATGAATAGAGATGTCAGCACTGAAAACTGGGGACAGAGTTCTAAGAGGCTAGCTAGAGGAGGTACCAGGCTGAGGTAAGCCTGGAAGAAAGATAAGGATGATGAGAGGAGAGTGCATTTACAGACAAGGCAGGCAACTCATTCTGAAGGCAGGAGAAAGGGCCATCCAGCTGCCGCTTGAATATCTCCACTGATGGGGAACTCATTTTCTCACAATGCATCCAACTCCAATAGCCTTGACTGATAGAAAAATGTTCTTCCTTATTTTGGACTCCTCTGCATAACTATACATAACTCCCTATAACTTACGCCCATTGATCTTAGTTCTATCCTTTGAGGCCATGCTGGCCAAAGTCTGCTCTTTCTTGCCTGTGTTACATTTACTCTCACAGCAAGGTATGATGATCCTGAAAAACTCTGACAAACTAATCCCTTCCAGGAGATTCAGCTGCTAATGCTTAAAGTGCAGCTGCCCCCTGGGAACTCTGAAAGAGACAAAGGAATGACTTTCAAATGGTAGAATTTCAGACATGAGCAAGTAGTGAGCAAGGCATGTGGGGAGACAAGGGTGATCCTTAAAGTTCACCTAAAGTCATAGGCAACTATTTTATCCAACTACATGTGAAACTGGTCCTAGCTAGTCTGCTTCATTGAGAGAGGAGGTGTATTCTCACGTCCATCTTCTCTGTGGAAGTGGAAAAGAGAGGAGGGAGAAGTTTCTCTCTAGAAGTCTGCTTTTTGGAGCCAGCTTGGCAGAATGATTCAATAGATTCTATAATTACCCTTAATGTAGTTCCATTGACACTATGTGGGTACCTGCTGGGTGACTACTATGCCACAACATAGACAACACATCCTATAATTAGAGGAACAACAGTCATCAGGGGAATTATCTGGCCTTGACCAATTTGTCTCCCTTCCTCTGGAGAGGGAACAAACTAAAGATTTTCTGTATGAGTTCATGGGGATAGGCCAGTGTCCACAGAGTATCAGCCCCTGGCTCTCTCCCCCTGCCTTTAGAACCTTATCTCATCGCCCTCCTCACTAATGGACTTATAGCTCCTGCCAAACTGGACTATTCACCTCTCCTCCCACCCCCACACACATGTGCATTTTCCCATTACTGTGCTTAGGACACCATTTCCTATGACTAAAATGTCTTCCCCCACCCAAATCCTCCTTTTGAATTCTTCCTTCTTTGAAATCTTTGAATTCTTCCAGACACAGCAGAAATATTAACTTTTCCATGAAGCTCACCCTACCCAATTCCCCACTGGAAATATTTTCAACTTCCCATAGAATGCTGTTTATGCTTTTTATTATATTTATTATGATTCTTTTGTATTTTTGCTATTTATACTATACCTCTGCTATTAGAATATAAACTACCTGAGGGCAAGTACTGGGTATTATTTCTTTTTTTTATCTCTCGCAGCACTGAACACAGAGTTCTTTGTACTTAATAAATGCTTAATAAAGGATTGTTGAATTGCATTGCAGTGATCTAGAGGATGAAGGAATAGCTATATGAAGATAAAATGAAAAGATAAGACCTCTTTAGTCTGGAAAGATTAGACTAGGTGGTGTGGATGGGTAACCAGAGATATGATTATACCTTGAAAAATCCTGAAGGGAATATATTGGAGTTGAACACAGACTTAGAACCTCAAGCTTGGAAAACTTATTACCCACCCAGCCATGAAGCTTGAAAGACAAAGGAAATCTCAAATATGGGGTGTCCCCAAAGTCTTAGTGTAGTATTAAACTTTAGTAGCTTTCAAGTGTAAGTAAAGACATAAAGTCACCAGAATCTTTCAGAATAAGGCAGTAGAAAAGCAAGCTTTTAGAGCTTAAAACTACACTAAGACTTTTTGAATACATTACTATTTTCAGTCAGTACCAGCTTTGGAGGTTTATATATGGGGTGTTCCAAAAGTCTTAGATTTCTAGGTGACAGATATACAAAAGAACTTCCTAGAGTAAAGGTAACAGATATTAAGTGTACACCCTTAACCTTTTTACAGTAATGTCCTGGGAACAGAATATTGCATTGCAGTCTGTGCAGAGAGAAGAGAGAAAATGCTGGGCTCCCTGCTTCACATATTTTGTGCTCTTATTGTCTGTGACACAATCATGGATAAGGGAAATATTGCAGTCATAAAATTGCACTGAGAGTTTGAAACATAAAATGTAAGAGTTGGAAGGAATCCTAGAACATAGAATCTAACCTTGAACATTAGAATGCAGACCACAGAATGACAGAGCTGGAAGGATCATAGGAGCATAGCTCAGAAGGGACCTCAAAACTTAATAGATCTTCTAGTTCAATCCCCTCATTTTACAAAGAAGGAAATCAGAGCTCAGAGGCAGGAAAGGTCCTTATTCAAGGCCACACAGCTAGTTAGTGGCAAGGCCAAGACTAGAACCCAAGTTTTCTGACTCCCACTCTAATGTTCTACACCTTACAGATTGAGAAACTGAAGCAAAGAGTATTAAAGTGTCTTTTTCAAGGCTACACAGATTTAGTGTCTCCCAGTCTCTTCTCTGCTTCCTGAGGCACGGTCATTTGATGAACTGGTCTCTGCGCTACGAAGTACCTCTTCTTCAGGAACCCATTATTAACTGAAAAACCTCCAGTCATAAAAAGAAAAGAAAACAAAACCAAACCTCTCCTTGTTCTGCCTGTACTTATCTCATGCTCCATGCTAAGGACAGATACTTCCTGCCTCTAACACACACATACCCAAAAAAGAAGATACGGGAGGTGGAGAGTGAGCCAGACTGCATCAAACCTCTGCTGGACTTATTGAGATAGTCTATGTTAAAAGAATTCAGTGGGTTTTTTAGAAGAGGAATCTTCCGTGGCTTTCAAATATTTTGATTTTGTCACAGGACAATGGGAATGAACTCATCCAGGGTATTGCCAGGAAATACTGGGCTCTTCTACCTTTAACTTCATTTGTCAAAGCATGCCTCTTCAGTCTTGGAAGAATTACATAGGAAATCTTCTGGATTCTGAGGATTCAAGATTCTCGGTTTCAAAGATCCCCAGTCCCTCATTACAACCCAGCTTCCTGCCATCTGGTACTGCTCCAGCCCACCTCGACTCTGGATTAGATGCTGTGACAACTATGCTTGTGCAAAGCCTCCTTTATTGTCCTCCTTGTAAGAGCCAGAAACTATACAGTAGTAGAAGTGATATCAGAACCTAAAAGAAGTGTCATCTTGGAGCAATTAGAAGATAAGAGAAATTCAGCCATTTGAAGTATCTTGTATTGGGAATATGATGCTGATCTTTTTTTCTGAGGAGAGGGCCATACTCTGAATAGAATTTCCCTATTCATGGCAATCTTTAGAACCCCTGCCTCTCAAATGAGGCATTTCCTCCTGTATCCTAGGAACTAGAAAAGCT